GGCTCCTCCGGGAGCTTGGGCCGGTCTCCGCAGATGCCCCGGGCCTCACCGGGACTGGTCGGTTACCCTGGTGCCCCAGCCCACCCTGCGGCCTCCTGAGGACGGGAGATCGGAGACGATGGAGGTGGCCAGCGTGCTCCGCGTCTGTCCGGGTGGCCGCTCTTATTTTCCAGAAGGGACACAGAGGGTAATGGGCGAATTCTCATTTTTAAGACTTTAGGAAGGGAGCAGTTTGGGATTTAAACTCTGCATCTAGCCTAGAATCATTTTTTCTTGTGTCAAATAAAGATGCTCCTCGTAGAAGCGGGTGTGGAGCAAGAACTACGCGAATTTGATTTGGAACTTAGATCCCTTCCTGGGAATCACCCCAGCGTGGGGAGGGGGGCAGGCCTCCACAGCACAGTTCCCAGTCTCTCTCTCTCTCTCTCTCTCTCTCACACACACACACACACACACACACACACGGGTTGTTTGGGGGTCAGTTTGCTTTGAAAGGCTTTCAGGTAAATTAATAGTACCGAATAGCCTTTGAAAGTGGTCTCTTTGTCCCAGGTTTATACACCAAGATTTGGAGGAATATTTTTAGTTCCAGCTGAATGGTTTGCTCCACTCTGAGCATCCTAACAACCTGTTAGTATGTTTCTAGGACAACTAAACAGAAAGGGAAGAGACCAGGGCCTGGCCACACTCTCCATTTCGTCCCTCCTTCTGTGACTTAAAATCTTCCCCGGGAAGCAAACCCCAAAGCCAGGAAGCCTGGCTTCTCCACTCCTCCCTCCCATCACCACCCACCCCCCACCCCCAGCTCCAGATCCAGCTGGAGCCTTTCAAAGCCTTTCAAAAGGTCAAAGGGGTTTGCACACACCTGGCTGATTGTTTGGAAACATTTCATCAGCACCAAAGAAAAACTGCATCCCAAACAGCCAAAGCTGCCTTCTCAGACACAGTCCAACCCGGATGCCCCGACCCTGTCCCCCCAGCCCCTCCTGAGCTCCCAAAACCCAAAACAGCCTTGTGCCAACAGTGACCTTGTGTCTCCCCATTCCCCAGCCCCTTGGGCGAGGAGCTTGCTCTTCAGAGAAAGGCAGGAAACAGAGGAAAAGGCCAAGTTCAACCTAGGAATGGCTGCCACCTCTCCCCAGCAGGGTTCCTCCTGGCACCCACATGAATGAGTCTGTGCTTCCATCCCAATGGCCGTTGCTTGCCAGTGTCTTTGTGTGTTGTGTCCTTGGCCCTTGGAGGTTGCATTTCCTTTCAGAATCCTTGATTTGTCTTCTGTTTTCTAGTCTTCCATGAATTGCACACATTATATGATAAAAACATATCGTGTATGATTCTAAAGATACAATAAGCAAAGGATTCGAGGAATTCCTCATTTAACATAATGAGAGAACTACTCAAAGTTTGCAAGATGGTCCCTGTACATTATTATAGATTTGTAGGATGTAGTTTTCTTTTCCATCTGGAATCTGTTGAAACTGTCTTGTCATTGCAGTGTTTGCAGAGCTCATCTGGTTTTAGGTCTTGAGCCCGGACCTTTGAACCCCTAGGGGATGACCCTGTTGTCAGGTTGTCAGGAGTTCACGGTGAACAGGTCACCAGAGCCTGCCCAGCACCACCGTTGGATGGCAGCACCCCGTCCACCATGCTGCCCTGGGAGGCACTGGCTTGATGCCTGACTCACTCAGTTGCTTGAGTCTGGCTGGGTCGAGTCTCTGCCTGGCTCTGCAATGCCCATTTTCATCAGACCAGGCTTTCCAAGGGCTGCCTCAAAGGACCACAGATGCCAGCAAAGCAAGCTGGGGCCCTCACTTCCCAACAGGGAGAAATGCAAGGAAGGGCCCTGGGGATGTTGGGACAGGGGTGGAGGAGGACTGGCAGCTCTGGAGAGGGAAGCTTGGGTGGCAGAGCAGAATTGGAACAAGTTAGGCTTTCACGAATGCCCCTAAAACTTGCCTGTTAATGGACTACTTGGCCCTTCTAACTCCAGATTTCTAGTTCCCATTTCTGTGTCTGTCCTTGGTGAGGAATTATTGACATGACTGACAGTTTGCTCGATAGCAGAGCAGAGCCATGGGTGATACTGAGGCTGAGGCCTTTTGACCCGTGTCTGAAATGGTAGGAACTGGGGGTGGGTTGTCTGTGAGAAGTAGCAAGGGGAAAATTAGAGGCATCTGTACTTACTAGGGGGTCATTTAGGAAGGGTTCAGTGGACACTGGCGGGGGGGGGCATAAGTCCTGACCAGGCATCTGGCAGGTGGAAGACACTGCCTCTTCAATGCCAGTCTCCCTGCATTTAACTGGGGGTGCCAAGTAACAGCTCCTCCCACATTGTGGAGCAGAAGCCTCTGGGATGCTCTGGCCTCAAGCAGATGTGGGGTGACCAGGACTGGGGCTGCAAAGTGTCACTCTGTCCCTTATGCTGGGTTTTCTGCTGGGGCCACACAGGGCGTATACCTCCTCTCCCAAGAGAGGAGACTTCTGAGTTGCATGTCTCACCTAAGTGTCTCCAGGTGAGCCATTGGCATCACTAAGCACAGTAAACTGCCTTTTCTTTGGTTACTATTTACTTATTTAAAAGTATATGGGCTCGGCGCCTATAGCTCAACCGGCTAAGGCACCAGCCACGTACACCTAAGGTGGCGGGTTCGAATCCCCAGCCCGGGCCCGCCAAAACAACAATGACAGCTGCAACCAAAAAATAGCCAGGCGTTGTGGCGGGCACCTGTGGTCCCAGCTACTTGGGAGGCGGAGGCAGGAGACTCACTTGAGCCCAGGAGTTGGAGGTTGCTATAAGCTGTAATGCCACAGCACTCTACCCAGGGGGACAGCTTGAGGCTCTGTCTCAAAAACAAAAAAAAAGTATATGTGAGTTTCTCCCATTTACGAGAACTGTGGTCGGTGCAGGGTGCAGACATGGGTAAGTGTGTCCCCAACTCTGCTGTGAATAATGACAGACACAAGCTCAAGGGCCAACATGAGAAGGGACAGGTCCTGAGAGGGAGCTGTAAAAATTAATAGAAAATGCCAGGTAAAAAATTAAGAAAATATAGAAATATATAAAGATGAAAACAGAAAGTGCTGGCACTGTTACTGACAGCTCAATGTTTTTACAATTAGTTTTTTATTAGGGCATTGTTCAGACCCTGCCTTGTCCAGCAGGAAGCATCTTGCCATGTTGCTGAATGCTGAGCTCAGGTGATTGTTGGTTGCCTGCCTAGAACTCTCTGATGTAAATGGACCCTCTGTCCCCACTGGAATGCAGAGCTGAGGTGGCTCCTTTCTCCTTCTGTCATAGGGTTTAAGGGTCTCTTTGAGAAGGCCATCCCAGCACAGCACAGGACAGTAGCCTGGGATGAATGGATCATCTGGTCCCAGCACCCCCTGGCCTCCCACAGACTGACACACAGATGAGCTTTTACTCCTACATTTTCTAGACTTTCTTTGAGATGATGTGGCATCTGAAGGACTGGACGCCTGGCCCAGCACCCCTAAGCTGGCACAGCCCCAGCAGGAGGGATTCCCTCCACCCCACTTAGCAGAGCTGCCAACAAATGCCTCTGGCTGTGGGGCCAGACTCAGGCCATCATGAAGGGGGCAAGGGGCACAATCCTGGGGTCACCAAGGTCGGTCCCCTCTCAGGACCACTTGCAAAGGTGTGCTCTTTCTTTCCAACCTGGTTTCCATGGTTTTGTGTGTTGTTTGTTTAAAAAGAAAACACGCTGACTTATATCATGGATCAGCTAATAAAAATGACCATGAACCAGTTCCCAGACCAAGTACTCTGTCATGACACCTTGTGTTACCACAGTAAGGATGTCGTGACATGGGACGAGTCCCATGGCATTAGCACACCACTGTCATGATGGCATTTCCACTGTGGTTCCTGTTAAATCAGAAAGAGCAGCAGTTTGATGAGAAAAATAAAGTACAATTTTCTTGTAAAATACGGTTCATTCCAAAATTACTTAGAACAAAGCAACAGAAATTGAGCAGAGCCTCTGGGGACCATCTGGATCAAGAAGGAGGCCCAATCATTCTTCCTGAGGACCAGGATTCTCTCTGCGTCGCTCCAAGGCCTGGAAGAAACTTTTAGCTGCAGGTGTGCAGCTGTCCGGGAGGCTCCCTGTGGGTTTCTCTCTGCGGGACCCAATCGGAAGAAGACAGATGTCATAGAATGGTAGGATGTCACATGGCCTGTGACCCAGAA